AAATAAACGTTAAAAAAAAATTTTTTTAAATAAAAAAACAAAAGACAAGAAACAACAGGTATTAGCAAAGATGTGGAGAAAAGGGAATCCTCTTACAACTTTTGGTGGAAATGTAAACTGGTGTGGCCACTGTGGAAAACAGTGTGGAGGTTCTTTAAAACATTAAAAATAGAACCACCATTAAGATCCAGCAATTCCAATTCTAGGTATTTATCTGAAGAAAATGAAACCACTAATTCAAAACGAAATATGCACCCCATGTTTATTTCAATATTACTTATAACAGCCAAGATCTGGAAGCAATCTAAGTGTCTATCAACAAAGGAAATTATAAAGAAGATGCGGTATTGGGGCGCCTGGGTGGCTCCATCAGTTAAGTGTCCAACTCTTGATTTCAGCTCAGGTCATGATCTTGTGGTTCGTAAGCTCAAGCCTCACTTCTGGCTCTGCACTGGCAGTGTGGATTCTCTCTCTCTCTCTTTCTTTCTCTCTCTCTCTGCCCCTCCTGTGCTCTGTTTCTCAAAATAAATAAATAAACTATAAAAAAAAAAGATGTGGTATACATAAACACACACACACAGTGGTATATTACTCAGCCATAAAAAAGAACGAAATCTTGCCAGTTATGACAATACAGATGAACCTAGAGGGTAGTATGCTAAGTGAAATAAGTCAGAGAAAGACATTTACAGTACAATTTCACTTACATATGGAATCTAAAAAACAAATGAGCAAACAAAACAGAAACAGATTCATAAATACAGAGAACAAAACTGTGGTTGCCAGAGGGGAAGGAGTTTAGAGAGAGGCAAAATATATTTGGTGAAGGGGATTAAGAGGTATAAACTTCCAGTTATAAAATAAATAAGTCACAGGGATATAAAGTATAACACAGGGAATACAGTCAATAATATCATAACAATTTTGCATGATGACAGATGGTACTATCATTGCATGGAGTTCATAATGTATGTAAATGTTTAATCACTATGTTGTACACCTGAAATTCATGTCATATTATATGTCAATTGTACTTCAATTTTAAAAAATCTTTAAAAAAAGTAGACTACCACAAAACTTAAAAACTTGATGGTAAGGATGCCACATACTAAAGAACCTCTCTATCAGAACTTCTAGATCATAATGCTCACTTAGCTACAGAAGACTAAGTTTGAAGACAGAAGCTGAGTCATCATACCCACAGTGCCTATTTTTAAAATGTTTCTTGAATTAAGTGTGCTTTTAAAATTTCCACATAATTATGGTTGGGTTGATATTAATCAAAGAAGACTCTTAATAGCAGCAAAATCATGGTCGAAAGAGGTAGCAGTTCAATGGCAAAACACAACTATACTTTTAATCTGAAAACTGTCAGGAAAGCAAGTAAGAAACCATAGATACTGGGTAATAACGATGAACAGAAGGCACCAAAAATGTGAACACCATGGAATGTTGGGGCTCAAAGACCCAAAAGCAAGCAAAGATTAACAAGAGTTTATGGATCCCCTAATGCTTCCTAGGGGAACAAAACGATGGTGTCATCAAAACTAACGGTCCTATTACTACTGACCACATCCCTCAATTGCTTTTCACCTAAGAAAATACAAATGCTTTCCTTTGTAATTATGAACCTCAGATACCTCTTTACATTAGTTATATTTCAAGATATCATTATAGATCATGAAATTTTTTTTAATGTTTATTCATTTTTGACAGAGAGCAAGCAAGAGAGAGAGAGTCTGAGTGGGGAGGAGCAGAGAGAGAGGGAGACAGAATCCGAAGCAGGCTCCAGGCTCTGAGCTGTCAGCACAGAGCCCGACACGGGGCTCAAACTCACAAACCGTGAGATCATGACCTGACCCGAAGTCAGACGCTTAACCAACTGAGCCACCCAGGCGCCCCTATCATGAATTGTTAATATTAAGTATTTGTTAACATTAAAGAATTGTAGCAAAAAAGCTGTTGATGGCCACTCCATTCTGGAATAATGGCATAAATGCCACTGATGTTACTATACCATTATGTGTCTCTGTATCTTGTCCCCAGATCTCAAGGAGTTGTGAAACATGCAAAATATCCTGCAGAAGCAAGTGTAAATAAAGCTCAGTGAATACTGTGGTCCTGCAATCAACCTGAAAAAATCACTATTCCATGTAAACTACAGGCCGATGGAAACTGGATAATTTCAAATCATTCAGACTTCTTCCTAAATCAAAGAGAGCATCAGTAGGGTCAGTGTAGAGACCAAATCCACATAGTAATTTGAACAAGGAAAGCTTAATATAAAGACTATTAGACAACAGTTTAACTTATTAAAACTCTGAAGAATACCCAAGGGAAAAGGAAAGTATCCAAGGAAGGAACAACCTGGAAGGGGAACCCCTCCCCAAAGCTGGGATTGGGATCCTCCTGGAGAAGATGTGGTTGTAGTCACTGAATGGGAGAGAAGTTAAAGTTAGCTGGATTTCTTGGTTCAGAGGTGGGCCACGTGCCAGGAAAGCAAGAAAGACCCCTCCAGAGTTCACAGGGGACAAGACTAGGAGACGAGCAACACAAGAGTCACAATGCCGGGAGCCCACTTACAAGCAAAGTAACACAAGGCCTGGAGTACACAATGTCTGTGTTGGAAAGGTCGTGGGAAACAAGTTTCTGGGGTAAAGGCAGGCCAAGGCCGGCAGATAGGCATGCAGGAGAGGGGGGCATCAGGAGCCTGCTCACCAGCAAAGCAACAAGGTCTGGGGTTCACAGTGCCTGCAGGAAACAACCTTCAGGAAGTCAGAGAGTCAGAAGCCCACTCTCCAATAGACCTGGGGTGCCTTGGGGTACTCAACTAAGTGGCCACCAAACTGGCTGGGGATGCAAGCTTATCGGCAGACTGTGCTATAGGTGTACAGCTGAGGCAAAATGCCTCTGGCAACAGTGCAGGGGGAGCAAAAAGAAAAACAAAATTCATAGCACACTGGAAGATGGAAGAGAAGCCCCTTTACCCTCCTTCAGTGCCCCTTCCAGCATCCTCGACTGTGAACAGCATACTCTATAAAGGAAAAGTTCTGAAAGAGTCCAATCCATTCATGTAGAACAGAAAATGAAAGAAGGAACTTGAAGCTAAGAGGAAATAAACAGATAACTGGCATGGCTTCTTAGAATTACCAATATAAAAACCCTAGGAATTCCAGGCCTATCTTGAAAGGCAGCAATTTCCCCAATGTCAATGAGAAATACAGCTGGTATCAGAATATACCCTACAAAGCCACTGCGCAAAAATCAACATGGTACAGAAATAGGTATTACTATAAAAATAAACAAATGCCACAAAAGAAAAAACTTTTAATTAGTGGCAATGCATGTGAAAAGTTAATGTGTAATGAAGATGGCATCCATTTCATTGGGAAAAATACATATTATTTAATAAATACCTTAGATGTCTATCCATCTGAAAGAAACATAAAAATGAAGTATTATCTGACATCCCATTCAAATATAAATTCCACAAGGATATTAAAAAGAATTTTTTTAGGGGCGGCTGGGTGGCTCAGTTGGTTAAGCGTCCAACTTCAGCTCACATCACAATCTTGTGGTTCGTGGGTTTGAGCCCTGTATCGGGCTCTGTGCCGACAGCTCAGAGCCTGGAGCCTGCTTCAGATTCTGTGTCTCCCTCTCTCAAAAATAAATAAACATTAAAAAAATTTTTTAAGTTCTAAAAATCATCTCACGAGCAAATGGAGGAACTGGGAGACATTTCTAACCAAGACCAGAAATCCAAAATCTTAGGGGATGGAGGCGCAGGGATAGAAGTGAACATACAAAAATTTGTTGGGAAAAGCTATTACAGACAATTGTAAAATATGTACATGTAGTGTATATAAATGTATACATCGCTCATACACATATGTATGCAGATGTGCATATGAGTCAAGTATGTACAATGTATGCAATGTGCATAAATGCATGTTTCCTGACTCCATCTGCTGAAAGAACACAAAATTGATTTGCAATGAGTATATCTACTACCCAAATAATGGTCTCTGCAGCAGCCAGGGTCCACCCCGAAAATGGAGTCCACACAGCAATTTGAACAGAGAAAGTCTTACAAAGAATTATTAACTATTTGCACAGGATTAACTACTAAAAGAGAAGAACAGAACTCTAAGGAATACCCTAGAGTTCAGGGAGAGAACCAGAGGCAAGAGTTGGAAGGAGCATCTCCTTCTCAAGTTGGAGTTCACATCTCACTGGAGATAGTGTGGCTGCAGCACACTGAATGAGAAAATTAGCTGGGTTACCCCAGCTAGAGCTGTCCTATGGCAGGAAGGCCAAAGTTGATGGACAAGAACATGCAGGCTGGGACTGATAAGCAGGAAACTCTCTGCTGTGGTGTCAGCATGTCAAGAGCAGAAGGCAGGGAGCCGCAGGCAGGAACTGGCAACAGAATCTGCTAGAGCATGAGCGCCATTGAAGTATCTATCACACACACACCACCGGCAGCAGGGCAAGCAGGAACAGAGGACTGAGACTCTCTGTGCCTCAGTTTTGTGTTAACATCTTGGAAAGCCACGAACCTAACAGGTGTTACTCAATCAGTATACCCAGAGCCCATCCGAAAATGTCCGCATCTGGCCTGGCTGGGTGCCTCAAACCGCAACCATTCACATTATAAGGAAGGTATCAGAAAAAATATACAAAGTAAAAACTTTTCAAAATCCCCAAATTTCAGAACTATAATTCAATATCATCTCTTGTTTTTATTTTTTATTTGCTTGACGGGCCGGAGTTGGAGTTGTTGGTATGGTGTTGTTTCACAAAAGGGAAGAATAAATGCATTCTGAGTAATCAACCTATACCACGAACGTGAAAAAATAACTTCAAGTGCATGCTGCATGATGTGAATGATCTTTATAAAGGGCTTTTGATTTCACAGCACAGTATTTCAGGGTTCAGCACATACACATGATTAGCCAATCATCACTTTTTAAAGTCACAATTTCAAAATCGTCACTTACCAAACACTATCCCTTTAGCAAATGGAGGAAACAATTCTGAATGTCGGAATAAGTTTTTGTGAATTTGCCATAGTTCTTTGTGTAGTTTCTTAAAGTCACTGTATCTCTTCCATACGATTATCTAAAGAGAAAGGAAAATTAAATGTGTACCTCACAGTGAAACTACATAGGTTCAGATATCTGAACAAATAATCTTTTTCCATTAAAGAGCTCAAACTGTCAGGCAAAGGCAAACAAATATATGTTTGAACCAACATGGTTAACTGTCTGAAATTAAATAATAATAGTTAATTAAAAATATAAAGTAGCTGGGGCACTTGGGTGGCTTAGTCGGGTGTGTCCGATTCTTGATTTCAGCTCAGGTCACGATCCCAGGGTGGTGGGATTGAGCCCTGTGTCGGGCTCTGCACTAAGCATGGAGCCTACTTAAGATTCTCTCCCTCCCTCTGCCCCTCTCCCCCGCTCGCGCACACACTCTCTATCTCTAAAATAAAATTACACACACACACACACACACACACACACACACACACACACACACACCATGCAAAACAGCAATTCTTTCTCTAATTTTTCTGCTTTGGTTTTTAAATTTCATTTTAAACAAGTACTGTTTTCTTCATACTGCAAAAATATTCAACCTGGTACAAAGAAGGTCTATCTAAAATGTCACTTAACCTCTTCAAAAATCAATTACTATTGGCCTGAAACAAGCCAGATGTCAAAATACATATTCTGTCTCAAAAACAGCATGTTTATACACACAAAATAATTAATTTAGACAATTTTTAAACATCAAACACCCACACACCATTTGCCTAAAAGGATAAATTAATATGGAAAAAGAAATGGTTGTGTAGCAAGTAATTAACCTGAACGTTTACATTTCATAAATCTTATTTCACAAATCCCAGTTAAAAGTAATAGTAAAGATTTCTTAAGGCAAGATGAATCCTGAAAACAATACCATTAAACCTAGTATATTTCAACACAGAAAATAAGTCATCCAGATTATAAAACACGTAAAGTTTACTTCCATTAACTTGAATTACTATTTAACCTTATTCAGATTAAATTAGCAAAAAGAAAACAGATTTGACACAACTTTGATATCACTGATTCGGCCCCTCAGTCTCCACAAAATAGGGTAAAACTGAGTTTTAAATTTCATTACTGGTATACTAGGGTCTTTGCTTCTTAAAAACCTAAGAACTTCTAACGAACTCAATAGAGTGTAACGCTAATAAGCAAATCTTAGGCCATGCAGGTAATCAAGTGTGATTTAAGAGACTCTTGTCAAAAAATTACTCTCTGCATGTAAGAAATTCTTCACTAAACTTTATCATACTGCCTAAAATTCTACCATGATGAGTTTCTTGTTTTTAATATAGTTATTAATCCTAGGAGACTAGTCAGACTATAATATGAATTAATCTAAACTGTCTCCTCTGGATGTTTCCTTTCATTTATTTACTCAACAACAAAAATAGTCACCAAAACAATTATTTTCAAGAGCCTATTCTGTGCTAGGCTCTCTGTAAGCACAAAGGATGAAGAAATGAGAACGCAGCACCTGCCTTCAAAGACTTCCCAGCCTAGTTGGGCAGGATAAGCCAACACAGTGATGATGTCACAAGACAGTGTGATAGATGCAGACAAGGAAGCCCAAGGGAGTTATGGAAGGAGCACCTACAGAAGGTCTTATCTTAGGTAAGCATACTGAAGGGAAGTAGCAATTAGACCAACAAAAATAGAGAGAGAAGGGACTGGGGATGAAGTTTGTAAAGGAGAGTGAGAGGTCAAATATAATTAGTAGAATTTGGGCTTTTGCAACTGAATAAATCATGGTCCTACTCTCTAAGGTGAAGAAAAAGGGAGAAGAAACTTTTAAGATAAGAACAAAGTTCAATTTTAGACATATTTGACACAGATTTGGAGTTCAAGAGTGAGAACTAAGCAAGATGTATTAATTTGGGAATCATCAGCAGAGAGGTGGCAATCACTCAGGAAAGGTTTCTCAGCATCGGTAACGTGAGGAATCTAACAACAAAACAATGGCAAACCCTAACACTGAGAGGCCAGCCAGAAGTAAGGAAGAGGAAACCAAGTGCAAAGTAAGTGTTTAAGAAGCTTAGCTGTGGGGCACCTGGGTGGCTCAGTCAGTTAAGCATCCGACTTTGGCTCAGGTTATGATCTCACAGCTTGTAAGTTCGAGCCCTGCGTCGGGCTCTGTGCTGACAGCTTGGAGCCTGGAGCCTGCTTCAGATTCTGTGTCTCTCTCTCTGTCCCAAACCCACTTGCATTCTGTCTCTGTCTCTCTCAAAAATAAATATTTTTTTAAAAAGTTAAAAAAAAAAAAAAAGCTTAGTTGTGCCATGACACAGTCCACTGGGATGGAAGAAGAGATTTTATTTTAAAACAAAAGTGAATGGGACAAAAGCTGACAGCAAAGAACCAAGAGTCCCAGTAAGACAGAGCAAGAGGAGCTAACAACTAAGACAGCCAAAACAACACTCAAAAAGGAAACGGTCTCTGGACAGTGAGCTTACAAGTGACTTCAATTTTCATATTTTTTGCTTCTCTGTAGTTTCTAGTTTTGATACGGGAAAATAATTCTATCATAGGAAAAACAACAATGTTATTTTTATATTTTTAAAACATATCAAATTACAATGGCACCATGTTGCCAACGGCTTAAGGAAGAAATGGGTGATGGGCTTTGCATATGGTAAATGCCATCCCCAAAGCCTTTATAAACGAGATATAAGAGCTATTTGAAAGACTGTAGCTCTTAGAAACAATTAAATTAAATTAAATCTGCAGATAAAATTTCTATTCTAGTTAGGGCCATTTTTAAATAAAGGCAGAGTAACTTAAGGGGCAAAAGTTAACAACTTAATCACAATAATGATAATAACATGGTCTATAAACTGGCAGATAGTCTATCAGAGTAAGAATTAGAGCCCCAAAGGTGAGACTCTTCATCATGCCTAATTTATTCACTCACATACTCCTTATTCTCAACACTGAAGCTACAGAACCAAAATACCTAAGAGCAAATATAAACCCTCAAGAAATGAAGGAAACCAAAGCATCACAAAGTGTCACCATCTACTGCCTTTTTTTCTTCATACTCCTTGTAACCTTGGACATTTCTAGAAATCTTCCAAATGGAGAAGTGAACAAAAGCATACTTCCATTACATTAGCAAGTACTGATGTTTGTAACTGGACTACACAAAGTCCCAAAAGATGCATGCAAAAAATTACTTTCCCTAATAATTCTTTCCTATTACAAAAAAAGTTGCATAATAGCTATTGCTTTATTGAACCAACCCTGCAGAAATTTCTTATTCGTGAAAGTTACTTTGCATAAAACTCCTCAATTAAATATTACTTCAGTGACAATCATATATAGACTACCACTTTAGTAAAAGCTTAACTTTCATTAAAACATTCCCTTAAAATAATTTTTACAGAAAATAAATGTTATCTTTTCAGATAATTTCACTTAATGAGAGCAAAAACCTGTAGATCTCATAAACAAAGCCACTCATTCAATTAAGTCTGTCCTCTGATAGAGTATTTAAAATTGCTGAATCATCTTTTCTTGCAACCAACGTCACTACTGTATTTCCTTATGGATTTTCTTTCTCCCCTTTTCAAGACTCTTCTTTCCCTTGACACATTTCTAAATGTTCTCAAATAGTTTTTTAAAAATTATTTTATTTATGAAATAACAGATTTCTGATGTGATAACATAGAAAGTTCTATTTCAGTTCTCCTTTCCCAAATTTCACCAGTGAAATCTACTATCTATAGAGAAACAGAGTTATAGGTTACTTTTTTTTTTAAAGGTAGGGGAGGGAGAGCACAATGTATCTCTAGTTCTTTCTTTTCTGCAGGTGTTCATGCTTTTGAGAATCTACTGAACGAGAGGCCCCATTAACTGCTGTTGTCCCCTCAGATTTTCCCATGCTGCTATTAAAAAATAAAAACTTAGAGGGCGCCTGGGTGGTTCCGCTGTTAAGTGTCCAACTCTTGATTTCAGCTCAGGTCATGATCTC